CTTCTAATAAGCGTACCTATCGAGATTTGCGAAACAATATTATATACCGTATTTATTCCATTATGGACAAATGAACCTGATTTTCAATCAAGGAGACTCGATCTTATCCCGGAGTCCGTTATTGAAGATTGTGCCGTGTTCTAATCTGCCAATCACCCACTAACACAGATTTTGCAATGTTCTATAACTTCTGTGAACCTAGAAGACAGTTAAGCCATTCAATATTCAATGTTAATGGAGGGGGCTCCACTCATAGATGCACTTTGGACCATTTTATATCCTCGAACAATTCCAAAAAGACACAATGCTTTGACAGATTCCAGCAGTTTCAATTAAATATATTTTTTGCTCCAAAATTTGATAATTCAACTATTTTCTTTCATGCGGGAGATTATTTCCATGTTCAAATATTTCTTACGCAAGTGAAGAACTTGATTATACAAATCACCGACGTTTCGATCCATAATTTGCTAATTGTCAAAATTCAGTTTAATCCAGAAATCGCACTGACAAAACGCCCAAGTATGTCTCTAAACGTTGTTGATTTCTGTAATAAAATGTACATTTGAAACAATACCGTACGAAACTAAAGAGTCTTAAAAGAATTAAATAATGTTTAAATATTATTTGAATGATTTATAAATAACACAGGTATACGCTAGATGTTTGCCATTTGAAAACTCAACCCTTTGCGGATACGACCACGACCATCACACATGGTGGTTCGTTGGGATGAAAAACTAGTTGCGGTCATGCAGCAGTGAGACAAACCAAGGCATTGCCAGGTTCGAGGTCGGCAAATTCGGTCCTAGAGAAAAGGTCACTGCGCCCAGTGGCAGTTTCATGTCGAGACGAAAGCGACCATGTAGAAAAAGCCATCAATGTTGCCGCTGCCTTCATGCCAGGCGTCTGTTATATCTGTAATTAAAGAGGAGGCGCTATTTGCGACAGGTGAGAACTTGGTCAACTTGGACTTTTAGGCTTACATGCAGGTAGGTCCACTGAAGTCATCTGTGATGCAACGAATGCGCTTACGAGTCAACGATGTCCGGCAGACGATTAAGCTGTTATTATCGTGCAAAATATTCACGGATGCTCCACTCCAATGACAGTGTATATTCCTTGAAGAATACCTGACGATTAACGCTACTGAGCGCCGGCCTAAATGTGCTGAATTCGCTTGTAAAACAGTCGCCCGTTTGGCGTACTAGTCTGAGTACGGGCCATAATGGCATTCAGCTATACATGTTTGACATTTACGCGATAAACAAGAATCGTTTACGACAAATTTTCTACACGAATGGTCCAAGCAGACTTCCGTTAGGATGATGACTAACCTGGCATAGCACCATCTGCTGTTGCTTGAACATCAAAATGATGATCCATCCTGCCGACCGTGTATTGCCTTCACAAGGCTGCTAGCTTCCGTCCCGCCATTACGCCGATGCTGTTCAGGCTGACGATATAATCAGCATATTCGAACTTACTTTCGCCGGTTAAGGAAAAAGCGTTCCAGCAAACAAGGCATAACTTATCCTGTGGTGGAGTGGATGGGTTGAGTAAAGGATAAGAAGCAAAGGCAGCTGCGCAAGAGTTTAAACAAAATCGAGGTACAAAAACGTATAGAATATATTTCTTTCTTTATGCCAAAGTAATACCTGCGTTAGGCAATAACTTTGTCAGCAGGATTACAGACAACAAGGCGTATGTATGCAAACATGCAACAACCTTTTCACATAAAGCGCTGGCATTTTTGTTTATCATG